TGAAGATGTTCACATCCTGGACAGAGAGGAACGATGGTTTGAGAGAGGAGTAAAGGAGGCCATCTTTGTGAAAAGAAACCGTCCATCATTAAACAGGGGTGGAGCCTCCAGGTTCAACTGTCCCCCTCTTACAATGCTGTGATTGCTAGTATCACTCAGCCCTCTGTGAACAGTAAACAGCCATCAGGTGCTAATGATCCATTGTTAGGCTGATGGTCCTTCTTGAGCATGTGATCAGCTGGTTCTGGTTGTCAGCAGCAAACTGGTTGATCCACTCTGAGAAGGTGCTATTTAAGAGACTGAGCTGAAAACAGCACCTCAGACTGAGGAAGTCTCTCTGATGGAAGACGAAACGTTTCTACAATTTGTTGTTTTGTTTTTTGAATGTCCTGAGGACCAGATTCAACTGTTTTAGATTTTTCTACCTGGATTATTGAGCAGCTTCAGGACATGCTCACAACAGTTTGATGAAGGTCAGAGTTGGACTTTTATTGTACATACTTCATATACATTATATATTTAATAATTTTGTCAGATTTTTCAGAACTCTGTATATTAATGACTCGTAATCTGAAGGGACTTTTATTTAAGGCTGTCAAAAAAACAACTTTAATTCAATGTCACGTTATTTTTGATTCGAGCTACAAAAAGGGCCACAGGTCGCAGACCTCTGCTCAGACAGATCATGTGACCATTGCAACGTCACAGACAGACAGGAAGTTACAGAGCAGACAGACAGGAAGTCATTGGGCAGACAAACAGGAAGTTAGTGGTGTAGTATGTCATATGCTGGATATATTCATACTTTTTCACGAGTTCCTCATCTTTCTGACTGTGTAAATGTCGTGCATTGAATTTAACAGAAATGTAACGAGAGACGTTATTTATCTTTGACCCATCAAATGAATGCGGTCATTTATTTTCAGAATCAAAGTTTAACATCAAGCATTTACATTAATTTGGCAAAATATGAAAATAATAACAGACAAGTTTCACAGATAATGGACATCAATCACACGGCGGTGACTGAGGACTTTGCTTCAGATATTTCTAAAATATCTGTACTGCTTTTAAGAGAAAGGAGAGTTTAAGATGGAAATGGAGATTTATCTTACAGAGAGATTTGTGAGGGAATTAATCTGTTTGACCAGAAACGTGCACGCTCCTTCAGATCTCAGCTTGCCCACGGTACACTTGGTCAAAAATAGAACCTTCTACCTGGTTGATGATAAAATCAGCGTCGGCGTAGGGTTCCTTTCTGACTCTTTCAGCGTCTCCGTGAGGACTGCCAAACCCTTAGAGAGTCGTACGAGGTTATTCAAACAGAAGTTATAATCCCAAAACGTCTCTGGATCATCCTGAATGCGTTTGCATCCAAGAACTCTGAACTCCTTTCATCTCCTTAGCACTTTCTATCAGACTTCCGACATCAGACTCTTCAGCACTCTGTGTGGAACTCTCAGTGCTCTGCAGCATCAGACTCTTTAGAACCGGGAAGTTGCCACATTTTAAATGAGTTGACTTCCGGGTCAATTTAGAGCTTTCTGATTCGTGGATGGACCAGAATAGAGGTGTGGTTTGTGATGTAAGATGTTATCAAATTCGAGGTCAGAGAATGAGATTGTTTACAACATACAGAAAAGATTATTGGAGAAAACCAGACTTCGTGGAGTCTCACTCTTATTATCTTCTGAAAAAGTTTAAACATGACATTTCTTCTCAGTAAACATTTTAGTTGACCGAGACTCGACCTTTAACATACTTACAAACTTGCTCATTGCAGACAGAAAAATCAAGAAATGCATATTAACCTGATTTCTTCTTTGAATGAGGAATAAAAATCATTACTTACTGTTTATGTAAAATAAAAATGAGTAGTTCTCTTCAACCTGTAAGCATTGAGTGAACTAACACAATTTGATTATCAAACATTTGTAAAATAGTAATGATCATAGAGGATTGTCTTTTCTACTTGATTAATTCAAGAAAGAAAGTCCCCAGATGGCTCAAACTGTATTTCTGGATGCAGATCAATGGAATAACAGTCTCTGTTCATCTGATCAGATTTGAGGTCAGATCAGGTTCACTACAGTGGGCACAGACAGGAAGTTAGTAGACGGACAGGAAGTTACTGAGCAGACAGACAGGTAGTTACTGAGCAGACAGGAAGTTAGTGGGCAGACATACAGGAAGTCAGTGGGCAGACACACAGGAAGTCAGTGGGCAGACACACAGGAAGTCAGTGGCACTTCTTGGCAATGGGGA